ATTATGATTTTTATATTCTTCCATAGTGTTTCATGAGTTTCATGTATCGATTTAGTGATTTTTCAATATTTATCGGAATTTAAATATGTTTAGGTTAAAATGTTCATAAAATTAATTTAGGATAGTTTGCATAATTTTTTTTTAAAGTTAATCTAAAAAGGAAAAAAAGCCTAAATTGTGACAGCCCGTCCCAGATTATTCGCCTTGTAGGTGTGAAATGACAATTTTGCCCCTAGTGGTTATGTTTTGTTGTGTGGTTGTTTTGGGGTTTTGGTTGGCTGCATTTGGACCACACACACACCCACACTCGCATCCTCATCTCCTTCCCTGTCCCATGTCTCTCTCACTCATTCTCTTTTACGTTTTTCGTACGGACAAAAACCAAGGCACTCAAAAACGTTACGGATCGACGTAGAGAACTATACCTTTGTGTTCGTGAGGTTCATACAAGTTCAACCATATGCATTTCAGGTAGGAAATTCTTCGATTTCACGTCGAACCAGAGAACCCCGATTTTGGTCACTGTTCATGCATATGTGAAATGTTATTTTTCAGGGAAGTTGAAGCTTGTAGGAAGCTTAGTGAGGTCCTTAGGAAGCTTGGGGTGGTTCGTTGGAAGGTTTTGGACATCGGGATCGTGAGTTGCAGGTTTGGCCGGAATATCGTGGGTTTTTCCAACGAGATTCCATTGGTTTTAGGGCTCCAAAGTGGTAAGGTTTTGTTCTACTTGTTGTAAGCTTCATTTTGGTACCAATTTTGTGGAATTTGGTTGAGAAATGAAGAAGATATGAAGTTTTGAAAATTTTCCCAAATTTCGGCGGCGCTGATGGCAGCGGCTTCGGCGAGACTCACCGGAGAAAACAGGGGAATATTCCGTTAAGTTAACGAAATATTCTTAACGGTGTCAAGTTAGTTTTAACGAAATATGCTTATTGTTGGACAGAATATTCCCTAATGCCGTTAGGGATTCCATCAGCGTGCCAGGCGCGCGTGTAGCCATGCCTTGGTCGGCGTGTGAGGGCGCGTGAGACGTCGAAAAATTATTTTAAAAATATAGGGATGTTCGTGAGGTTAAGTAGATCACGTTGGTGTATTCATACATCTCATTTGAGCATTGTATGAGAAGTTATTACCTAGTTTTGGTTATGTGCTTTAAATTAACGTTTTTATAGTTGTTTCGCATATAGGTGAGACCTATCCCGAGGACGAGCACAGTCACTTGAGGCAAAGAGGTTACGACTCTTCTACATACCAGTGACTAGGCTTTTGGTTTTATGTATATACCTATATACTGTGGTTTTTCCCAGAAAATGAAATGGAATGTTTATATGTTTTAAATGCCATGCATTGTGTTTGCCTATTTATTTATGCATTAGTGGTTACATATATGTATGTTTGGTGCTGCGAACGCACAAGTAAGTGTCAGGTAAGTTATGGTTTATGTTTGTGATTAGTAATGATGTATGATGCCTAGATAACTCATAACATGCACCCCCGGTGTTAGTGCTCCCACCCAGGGTAAGACACTGTCATTCACGTGATGTTCACCTTCCGCACCACACGCTCATCTTGGATCCAAGTTAGGTGCATAGTCCTATCGTATAGACCACTATAGGTGGTTCCGACTCGTAGGTGACCCGCGATTATTCGCTCAGTCTTCACGTGATCGTAGCACTTGAGCGTATTTATTTACATCTAGTCATGTCGTATAGACCACTTTAGGTGGTTCCGACTCATGTGCAGGTATAGTTAGTGAGTTGGAGATTTGAGCTCTAGATTCAGCCGTATAGGTCACGTTAGGTGACTTCGGTTGACATATTACCTGCATTGATTGGCATTACCTGGTTTACTTACATTTTATGTAGAGGCATTCGACATGGCATATTTCTTAGCATGTTTTCTATATATGTGTATATTCTACTTTCTGGGAAACTATACAGGTTTTACGGCGAGGGGTTAAAACTTTTGATAATGAAATGATTTTGAAAAGCTTTGTTTTTGCCCACTCACACTTTCTGTTTTGCGCCCCTCCAGGTTCTAGTTTGGATTGCTCTTTTGGTGGCTCACGAGGAATTCTCGGCATATCTGACAGATTATAATCAGTGTAGGACCCCCCTCTGGATTGCACTAGGTTTTCTATGCTCTGAATATTGTTTTCCACACTTACGCTCGCACATGTTTGTTAATTACTCTGTGTGTAGTTTGGATTTTATTTGTTCGTACTTTTATTTTTATTCTTAGCTTCTGCATTGTGCACATGGTTACGTCACTCTCACGTGACGGCCAACACGCCTTGATTTTGGTCAGGGTGTATCATAAATTCATTCTTTAATAATATGGGGCTAAAATTTTAGGCTTGAAAGGTTGAAACAAAAAAATTGTTTATAGGTTAAAACCTAAATTTTATGAGCTAAGAATTTTAGATTTTAAGTCAAAAGTTGGAAATGATCTTAATGAGATAATATTTAAATTTTGTTTACTTTCATAGTCACGTTGTATATTTTTTTGAAATGTTTGAGCTAATTCCTCATATCTCATTGCTGGTAGAGTGATAAATCGTTATTTTCCTTTAAATTGTTATTTTTTTGCTGCAAAGTTTATGTATATATGTAAATAACCAATCCAAAAGCGGCGGATGGACGATCACACTCTTTCTCATCAACGCACTGCATCGTGGGTTCATTTATTCCTCATTCTTTAAGATCGTTTGCAAATATTTTTAAAATGATTAAAAGAATTTTTGTTTAATATTTTTTTTGTACTAATTTTTAGCAAAAATGTAAGTAAATTTTAGAAAAGAACTTGAAGTGTTTTTTGCAAGAAACATAAGTTATATGCTTCTTGCAGGAAGCACTTCAAATGCTTTTGAAATCCAAAAGTATTTTCTTTAATACAGCTAATTATTATTAAAGCACTTCCAAACAAGTCTTTTATGTAAGATATAGTTTACAATAAAACAAGGGAATTGTTATTAGCACTCCAAAAATCTCATTCTACACTCCTCGTGTATTTTTCTTTCTAATTATAGAAAGTTAGGAGTGCCAAATGAGATTTTTGGAGTGCTAATAACAATTCCCTAAAACAATTGTAAATAACAAAATTTGAAGATATTAAATTAGCAGATTTCGCAGGCCTAAATCACTTTAAATCAGGCCTAACTTAAAATTTTGGATTTAGAAGAGTTAGGCCCAAGTCCTTTTGATCAAGGATGGGTGTGGAGGCCCAAATCCATTACGAAATTGCTCATTTCAGAATTAAAGATAATATTTGGTACATTTTCTTGAACAATTTCATAAACGAGTTCAAAAATATAAAAACGGGTTTAACGGGTTTCACTTAAATATGTGTATTTTTTTTTTTTTACTTCATCGATATTTTTACATTAAAGGGAGGAGGAGTTCAGCTAAGCCACACAATGGGTGACTTTATTTGGTATCGAATTCGCCATCCACGAGATTTGAACTTAAGACCTTTCAATTTCAAGTGAAGAGGAATACCACCAGACCGTAGTACGAAATGGCAAATATGCGAAATTTTAGAATTCTATTACAACGTGGTATACTTCAACTCTTATTTTATACCTTGCATAAAAAACACAACACGCGACTTACAGAAAACAAAAACTCCGAAGTTTCAAACTCATGGCCTAGACCGTTGGACTAGGAGCTTTTACTTATATAGTCACATGCTCGGAGTCTCGGAGCTTGTGTCTTTGGCATAGGGTATACAATCCAACACCAAACTAATAGATATTACTTAACTCACTCACACTTAATATATTGATAAATATATCCAACTAGGAGTATATCTCAAAGTTCACAGAGTATATCTTATTTCAAACAAAACGATTAGGAGCCGTGTTACAACAAGTGACTTTTTATTATAGTGGTGGAAAGATGTTGAACATTGCATGACAGCGTAGGTTCAAATTCCATCGATATCTAATCTAACATCAACATATGGTCAAATAAAAACAAAGGAATATAAAACACCACGCATGCATATAACACTAGTAGGCATGACACGTAACGAGTGTTAAGTGTAACTACATACGCCGCATTGCCGCAATTGGCATGCCCTAAAAGAAAATACCCCGCATGCAGATTGGCGTCAGGACAACATTAGAAATTTCATGAATTTGTGTCAACTACCAAAATCGATTTGTAAGGTAAGTGTGCCAAAGAAATCTAAAACCCCTAAAATTATGCTATTTTTAGAGACAATTGAATTCGAAAGTTCCACCACGCTTCTATATTCAACGTTTTCGTTGGTCTACTATATTAATATTGTCTCGATAAAATTTCTTTATTTAAGCATTCGATTTTTTCCTTTATGATATAACCGGTATAAAATTTATTATCTAACCTCTTTCACAGGAAAATAACAATTGAATTGCTAATTGTCAAATTGAGTATCAGTCTATGTCACAATTGCCCTTCTTATCCTTTTAGGCTACTTAATGAAAACTAACCATATGATATACGATAATCGAATACGATTGATTATGTAGATTTCACAAAGAGAATCAGGAAATGATCATATTCCATCTGAATGTGGCACACACCGAACCCCATGGACTCAGCTCGCCTTGGCTCCACCTAATCCCATGGACTCACGCGCGGGTGGGGTGCACGCGCTTGACACAAAAAAAATAAAATATTGCACTGACGTCACCCTGGTGTCAACCTGACGTCACGCCCACCTCGGGCTCTCGGGCTGGCAATCCCTCACGGGCCCGGAGCTCGGGCCTCCCCCTTCCATCGGGCTCCCCCACGCTGGAGCAACATGACCGGCCCTCGGGCCATTGTTTTGGACCCCTTCCCCCGAGCAAAACCCAACGCTGGGATTGCTCTGAATACCCACCCACTTCTTGTGACACACAGGAAAGAAAACCCGTGGGCCATAACAATCGCTTTTAATACCACAGTAGATAGACGAAAATACCCCTTACACTTCCCCATATGCCAATCAATGCGCCAAAGCATATTCCAAATTCCTATACCAAAACCGTAATTTCGCTCTATGACGTGGGCCCGTGCAACTGGAATCCACATATACCCCAAAAATCCGAAAGGCTCAGACACACTATCCGCTGTGCGATTTCGAGATTATCGAGAAAAGATGGGCAGGAAGTTCTTCGTCGGCGGCAACTGGAAATGCGTGAGTTCTGCGATTCGTTATCTCCTGTGTTCTTTTCTTTCAATCTGTTTGGTTGCTGAGAAAATCAATGAAAGTCACGGAAAATAGTCAGATTCCTAATATTTATCGTAGTCTCCATCGATCGATTTTCCGATACTTTCTCATCAGCCAAACAGAAGCTTGAATTTTCAATTCCGATCTGTTTTATGCTGTGATTTCGATCGAAGCGAGTGATGATTTAGTTAATCTGAGCTGAAATGTGAATCTGTGTGTAGAACGGAACCTTCGATGAGGTGAAGAAGATCGTCAACATACTGAATGAGGGACAGGTTCCGTCGCAAGATGTTGTGGGTGAGTTGATTGCTCCGATTATTTACTTATGATTTGGATTTGATTTGTTAGCCTTTTTATGCTTTAATCAGTTCATGAGATTTTGTGATCTGTTCGGGTTATCAAAGTGTTAATCTGTTCTGTGGTTTTTATGATCGCAGAGGTTGTGGTTAGCCCACCGTATGTTTTTATTCCAGTGGTGAAGAGTTTGTTGAGGCCCGATTTCCATGTCGCGGCACAAAACTGCTGGGTCAAGAAGGGTGGTGCCTTCACTGGTGAAGTTAGGTGTGTATGTTTATGATTTACTAGCTTTCGTTTCAATGCGGCGTTGGCTTCTGGTTTTAACTTGGTGAATTTTGAAAATTGAGAATGTATGTTGCTGATTGTGTGGTTTTAATGATTTAATGATGTGTTAAGATGTTGATACTTTAGATAGAAGAAAATTTGAATACAACTGGAACGTAAGCTTAAAAGTTGATTTTTTGTGTACGTTGTTCAGTGCTGAGATGCTAGTCAATCTCGAGGTTCCTTGGGTCATTCTTGGTCATTCCGAAAGAAGACTTATTTTGGGTGAATCCAATGAGGTATTCTCCGCGCCTGTAATTCTAATCTGTTTGTCATTAACAATTGCGTGATAGTTTCTCATATCACACACTTCATTTCAGTTTGTTGCGGACAAGGTTGCATATGCACTTTCTCAAGGTTTGAAGGTAATAGCTTGTGTTGGTGAGACCCTTGAGCAGCGAGAAGCTGGCACTACTGTGGAGGTTGTAGCCGCACAAACCAAGGCAATTGCAGGTGCATAATGCAAGCAGAACTCCAATTTCTTGGCCTACTGTGTGTGTGAAGAATATTTGTTGTGTGTTGATGTGAGACTGCTTTATTTTCTTTGTGTACTCATTTAAGTGATGCTTTCTATTGCAGAGAAAGTGAAAGATTGGACCAATATCGTTTTGGCATATGAGCCTGTGTGGGCCATTGGAACTGGGAAAGTTGCATCTCCAGCTCAGGCTCAGGAAGTGAGTAATGCCTTTATCTGATATCTGGATGTGGTTTTGTTACTAGCTTCAGTTTGAAATTGATGTTGTTTGTGTATGTTAGAGCAAGGCAAAAGTGTTATTTGTAAAAAGATAAAAATAAAATGGGCACAATGGAGGAGATTGTTTAAGCTTCTTTGTCTTTAAGGTCTGATAAAACTGAACTAAACGCTGCTTGAATGTGCAGTTCTTTCTAAACTGTCAGCAACCCACTTTTTTGGCTGGGATTTCCTGGGTCATATACTGATTTTATGCATGCATTATATGCATGTATGCATATGCGTGTGTGTGCGCGCGCGCGTGTGTATATATACATATTTCTCCCTGTCTGTTTCACACAAATGTTTCTCCATACAACAGGTGCATTCTGAATTAAGGAAATGGCTTCAAGCAAACGTCAGTTCTGAAGTTGCTGCATCAACCCGGATTATTTATGGAGGTATCTTTTTACACCATTACCGCATCATTTTGTTGTTTATCTGCTTGTACGTCCCGTCCTTTTCTCTATTATAACTTTCTGCTTATAGTGCAAGAATGGATGCTTATTAATTTAAAACACAATTTACCTTGACTGACTTGGGTGAAAGATCGAAACTCGAAAGGTGCTAGAGGATAGGATTAATCTATTGTATGGATGGAGGCTATCATGTGCCAAAATCATTTTGAGTTATAAATATCTCTGTTCTCTTGCCAAGAATTCTTTTATGTCTTGTGTTTGAAATTTGAATTAAGGAGTCCACTCAGTTTTCATGTCTAGTGTTTGTACATATGGGAAAGATAAGTGAACTTATCTTTCTCTGTTCACTTTCACAACAATTGGCTGAATCGAATAATTTTTTCAGGGTCTGTGAACGGTGCAAACAGCAAAGAACTCGCAGGTCAGCCTGATATCGACGGATTTTTGGTTGGTGGAGCTTCTCTAAAGGTAATGATCGTAGGTTATGCATACTTATTGCGTTCACCCAGTTTCGTTAGTCAAAAAAAGTTTGCTTATCCCTAGTCAAAAAAAGTTTGCTTATCCTTGGATTCTTACATTTGTCTCTCTCCAGCCTGAGTTTATTGACATCATCAAGTCTGCGGAGGTGAAGAAGAGTGCCACTTTTCCATCTCTTATCTGAAGAGTTGGACCTGGTGTCACTTTTACATCTCTTATCTGTGAGGTAGCGAATATTTTCCGTTCAATTTTACGCCTACTTCTTTTGAGGAAATAATTATGCGTCTTTGTTTTTTGGTTCAGCACCTGGATATGGGTTTCTCTGTATTAATAAATGTTCTCAAGTGTTATTGCTTTTTTCGCTCTCGAGATCCAAATTTTCGAGTTTATTTGATGAAAGAAAAATGAAATTATTGAAGCTTGAGTAATTGCGGTAACACCTCATATAGTTAAAGTGATGATTTCCGGACGCTCATTTTCTTCTATTCACAATAAAGAGAAGGAGGTATTCATCAATTCCCCCCTGAACTTGTAACCATTAGCCAATTTCCCCCCCCTCAACTTTAATTTAGGCCAATTCCCCCCCTCAACTCTCATAATTAGTCAATTTCCCTCCTTAACTCTTATAATTAGTCAATTTGCACCTACTGTTAATTTTTTAATTTATCATAATTAAACAAGTGTGTGTAAGAAACTAAATAAGATGTATGTTAATCATGTTCCTATATATTTATCCTATTACAAATAGATTAAAATTTAGAATTTTTGAATTTATCATAGATAGTATTATTAGTCATGATAAATCAATATGGAGTAATTTTATTTGATTTTTGACTATACAAAATTGATAATGAAAATGATTGATGTGTAAATTTTTTGTATGTGAATACAATTTTCTTTATAAAAGTGAAAGCTAAGTTCAAGTAAATTGCGGAGAATCGAGCTTTAGTGAAAAAAATGGCTAGTCTATTCATAATTTTCGACTCCTTATTCAGAATAACCCATTTTATTGAAATAGGTCTGATCCATGAGTTTAGGATTATTATTTCTTTTTGTTATTATTTCTTCTTCTACATGCTTTAAACCCGATTCATAACTTTTTCTTATAATCAACCCACATCACATACTAATTGTATTATGTTTTTGTACATTTTACCCTATATTATGCAGGTGAGTTTATGTTAATTTTAGTACTTTGTTGGAAGTTATTAGAAAGATTGAAAATTAAAAAAATAATAGATGGAAAATTAAAAAAAAAAAATTAACAGTAGGGTGCAAATTGACTAATTTTGAGAGTTGAAGGGGGAAATTGGCCAAAATTAAAGTTAAAGGGGAAAATTAGCCAATGGTCACAAGTTCAGGAGGGAAATTGATAAATACCTCTAAAAAGAAGTATGCAAAAGGAGAGTGAGCGGCGGAAATTATTTCACTCAAATTATATAACGCACCAAGTATGAGTGGGCTAAAAAATAGCACCACCAACGAACAGGGAGTGAGTAAAGCTTTCATGATTCCATGCTTATGGCCATAAGGCTTAGGCTACATATCGATCATGTTGGATTGTTGATTGGCTCGTGGCCGATAACAGTTTAACACGTGTTGAAATAACTCATTAAAAATGCAAACATGAACTTTTGCTTATACGTTTCAAACTGTAATTGGCGGTTAAGTAAGAATGATAGCTTCCACTATGACGTTTTGCCTTTGCAGTCACGTCCTTGAATTACTTCATATTTTAGTGATCCTCATATTATTTTCGTATCATTTCGTGTATCTTTGCTTTAGTTTAGTGATATCATTTGTGTTGCGAGTCCGAAAAGGTCACTTTCCATGAGAGGATTTTATCCCGTGTGGTGCCCCCAAATAGATTATGATTCTTTCTCCTCCTAAAGGGATGGGCAGCGGTTATGGCTGGCGGGTAACCGTGGTTATTTACTTATAACTGTTTATGTTCATACCCGTATAACCGTTTACCTGTTGGGTAATTGCAACTGTTTATATTCATGAGAGTATAAGCACGTCGAATCGACACTAGACTATATAGACACAAATATTCAAAGGTGATGTATGTCTCGATGGTAAATATGGTTCAGCCGTCAGAATGCCGAACTCTGAAACTCACTTGTGAGTATCCAATCATAAAATCACTCGGCGTTCAATACGCCGAATGTCGTAACTCGTAATACCTTATTTCCCCGTGAAGGCTAATAAGATGACCTCTGCCAATAAGGATTCGGAAACCCTTCTCAACCGAGACTTGGATAGGTAACCAGTCGGCCTCGACGCAGTGCTGTTTATCCAAACTGAAGATGCTTCGGGAACGGCTGATTCTACGGCAACAATGCTGTTTATCCAAACTGAATGTGTGTTGACGGAAAAAGAAAATGAAAAATCTCAAGTTGCTTGAGAGACTTGCGTATGGCAGTTGTGTGTTGAATTCAAGAAGGCTTGATTGTTGCATGATGTCTTGTATTTATAGCACCAAATCCTCCTTAAGATCGAGTCAAGATCCTATCTGGATTGGAACTTCTTGTTCCTTTCTAACTCCACTTCGACCAATTCTACTCCTATTAGGACTTTGAACTTACCCTTTTTTGAGGCCATATTCATTGCTAGTCGAGAATCCAAATTAAACTAGGACCCCTTATATTAGGACTTCTTTGACCTCTTTGCTCATCCAAACTATTCGTTTTTGCGACAGAACTCGACCATCCTTACTGAACGGCCCAGTATCACCAGGCAGCCAGTAGTATATTTGGAAAAGCTCTGGGCCGAACATTACCCACACTCATCCAAATCCATGTGTATTTTGCCCATCCCTACCCTCTTCTCACATTCTCTATTTTGTCTTTCTTTTTGTATAAAAAATTAATATACGATACTAACACCATTCAAATAGAAGAGGAAAAATAAAAAAATAAAAAATAAAAATAAAGGGAGAGAATCTACTCTCCCCACCCACAAAAATATCTTTATAAACCACACCCCCCCCCCCCCCCCCCCCCCCAAACCCAAAACAAAAATATCTTTATGCAAATTTTGGAGTTGAATTATGGGACGTGACACGGAAACATTTGTTCTTTTTATGTCTCTTTGCTTTGACTTTTGAAACGGGCTTTCACGTGATCCAACTGGTTCCAAAGAAATTCATGCATGCATGCACGAACGTTGCAATTACAATGAAAGGGGAGTGCTAACATAACTCGTGAGTATGTATGTCTAAATCAAATGCTCACAGTGGTTCATTGGTATTGTCGAACTAATTTATGTGTGAGGATTGAGCCTAGAATCTTAAAATAGGAAGATTCTCGATGTATTTAAGGATATGTCTCTCTCTATGGTCACGTGATAAATGCTATCAAAAGAGTCGGTTGATGTAACTGGCGTAAACAACTCAATAAAAATGCAAAAAAGGGAGCTTTCACAAGATCCAAAGTCTTGCAAAGATATTATTCATACAATTCATGAATGTTGTGATTACAATGAAACAAAATAGGAATTGCTAGGCTCAGTCGATCATGTTTAAAAGGTGATTGTGAGTCGTTAATGCAAATGAACATCACTATACATCGACAACTCATAGTTATGACTGATTTACACGCATTGCAGAACTGAATTATGCACGGGGACTAAGCCTAGTGCATTTCTTGCAATTGGAAAGATTCTTGGCTGTGCTCAAAGATATAACTCCCTCCTTTACGATCATATGATGAATGTTATAGAGCCAGAACGGCATATCTTCGACTGTATGTAAGAATCTCGCTTACGATGGATAGATGAGGCCGGTGGTACTGGTTGTACCGCCTCTGTCCGGAAAAGCATGACAGTCGCCCGTGAGCCACATCTCTCGTGAGTTGATGTCGTTGCTCATATTCTATATGTGACCCCTATTTTGTGTGCTTATGACCTTTCCAATCATAATTTTTCAGTAAGTTTTCAACAACAAAAAAAATATACTTTTGGATAATATTGATCAGAATCTGATTAGGGTAGTTGGGTGAGTACAAGACTAAAAAAAAAAAATTATAATATTAGCATGGGGTCAAGGATTACCAAACATTAACAGACTTTAATCAATCTTTAATCACAATTATGTACATATAAAATTGAATCACAATATTTAACATGTCTTTTGCACCCTTTTGGAAAGACAAAACTTTAAGCTAAGGCCAAAGATCAAAAAAATCAAATAATCACTAATTTTCTTGCCTTTTTTTTCCTACGTCAAATTCATCCACTCTCATTATATAATGGTCTCAACTTTTATTTTTTCGTTACATTAGAAACGTTATAGTTACGGCCGCTGTTTATTTAGATTTCAGTTGCCAGCTTTTTATTGAAAAATATTATATTGCTGAATGGTTAATTTACTAAACATTAGGACAACCTAATAAATTGACCCCATAGAAAAATTGAAACAAATATTTGACTGTTTATTTCTAATTTTCTAATTTCCACCCACTTGTTCTGACCGTACGAAATGGGGACTTTTATATGTTTGTTCATCATTTCTTTAACTTATAGAGTGTAGACAAATTAAATCTAAATAAAATTCAATTTTTTTTTTAATAATTTTAATAAAAAGGTCATTTTCATGCATTTACTTTGGGTAGATTTTGTTTTAAGAATTGTTTAAGAGTCGGGGTGCCAATAGAACAATGAGATCCTCTTTGTGAGAATCCTAGAAATCCTCAAATCGTGTCCATTCATCGTACATCATGCGATCAAAAATTATTTCAAATACTTTTATTTAAAATTAAATATGAATAGTATATGACAAAAATTAATCGCACAATATACAATAAACGAATACGATTTAAGAATCCTCAAGATCTTTGGAAAGAAGATTAGGATCCTCATTCCCAATAGAAGAAGCCTCGCAGCAATTAAGGTACAAATACAATATCTATTTCAAAGGAGGGCCCACTGTGACACATCGGCTGATCAGACAAGCGCACTTAAATTATTAGTTAATCAAGATAATTGCACTCAACCCTCTCAAAAGCAAGAAATTTGTATTTTCTAACCAAAAAAGCAAGACATGTAGTATTTCTTAAGGAAAACTAATGAAAATGGTTTGAAAACTTTGAGTTTTAACGATAAATATAAAATAAAGGGTAAAATGAATAATATCATGATTGATTTTTTAGTGTAAAAATGTAGTTTTTTGTTAAAGTAAATAGTATCGGGAGCTTTTTGTTAAAATTCCTTATTTCTTATTCATTGTGTTATAATGATTAATCAGCTACAAGCGACAGCACATTTTAAGGCAAAAACCATGATGTCAACAAAGAACTCTTTCATATGAGAAATGCTAAGAATATTTTCAAAAGTGGATTTTTTATAAATTCTTTTGTCACTTTATGTTT